GAGACTAGAAGCGGGGTCTAGGGCCCAGATAGCCCCAGGAGATGCCCTTTCATTCTGGCTTGAGGAATGAAAAAGGGAGCTCTTAATGCCCAAAGAGCAGGGGCATTCCCTAGTTTTATCTTTCTCCTCTTCCTCTGTTCTCTCATGCCACAGCCCCCAGGCAGACCCACAGTGCAGTGGTGACAGTCAGTAATGTGGTAGGGCCAAATCCCTAAGGAAGGGGAAACTTGCTCTTCACAGAGAGGAACTGTGTTCCCAAGAGAGTGAGGCCAGCCCCCATGGCTTTTTTCTCTCTCTCTGTTCTCCTGCCCCTGGGACCTGAATATGGGTTCAGATGTGGAAGCATGTGGCAGAACAGGGTACCAGAGCCCTGACTTTCTGAGTGGAGGACCCAAAAGGGGAGCTCCAGGGAACTGAAAAGTACAGGGGAGATTGCAGAGAGGGAGGAGCTCAGGAAAATGACTCTGTATCATTGTTTATGAACTCCTGAGCCATGTATGTCTGGATCAGGTCCTAATTAGCATAATGAAGATTTTGACAACTAAAGTGATGCATAGAGCACCACCCAGGTCCCACAATGGTGCACGCCTGAAATGGAGCCAAAGACCAGTATAGCTTCATTGAAAGCTGAACTGTCATTGGAACCACAGCCCACAGCAGGGGGACTGGAACTTGCAGACTGAATCTAACCAGGTTGCACCTGCTAAAGCAAAAAATATCAACATTTTTTGGTAAGACTTAAACAACATCCAGAGTCTCATAATGTAACATTCAAATTGTCCAGGACACAATCCAAAGTTACTGAACATACAAAGAACCATAAAATTTTCAATCTTTCTCAGAAAAGACAATTAACAGACACCAAGGATGAGATTTCACAGATGTTGGAATTATCGAAGACTTTCAAGCCAGCTGTTCTAAAAGTGCTCAAGTAAACAATTGCAAACCTCCTTGAAACAATTGTTAAAATAGAAAATCTTCACAAGGAAATAGAAGATATCCATGGGAATTTTAGAACTGAAAAATACAAAACCATACTAAGAAACTCAGGGGATAGGACTCATTAGCAGAATGGAAATGACAGAGAATGAGTGAACCAGAAGATTGATAAATAGAAATTATCCATTGTAAACCACAGAGAGAAAAAAAAAAATGAACAGAGCCTCGGGGACATGTGGGACAACAAAAGGTTGAATGTTTGTTGCATCAAAATCCCAGGAGAAAAGAAAGAGTGTGATGCTGGAAAAATATTTGAAGAAATCATGATTGAAAACTTCCCCAAGTTTGGCAAAGGATATAAACTTATACATTCAAGAAGCTGAACAAATCCCAAACAGGATAAACTGAAAGAAATATGCACCCAAACACATCATAAACAAACTGCTGAGATCTTAAGACAAAGAAGATACCTTGAAAACAGCCAGAGAAAAATGACTCATTATCTGTAGGCGAGTGATGATTTAATACTGCAGGTTTCTCAGCAGAAACCATGGGTAGCCTTAAGAGTGATGAAGTATTTTGAATGTACAAAAGAAAAGAATTGTCAACCTGGAATTCTAAATCCAGTGAAAATATCCCTCAGGAAGGAAGGTGAAATAAAGATGTTCTCCAATGAAGGAAAACTAAGGGAATTCGTAGCAGCAGACCTGCTGTAGAAGAATGGATAAAGTTCTTTAGAAAGAAGGGTGATGTTCTGGTTCCACCCCAGCAGCTGTGTGCTCATGGCCCCCCTGCATCATCCCTACCCGGCTGAACCTAACGTAGCCAGCAGGTGTAAAGAATGGACTGCCCCCGTGACTCATGCTATCATTTTTCAACTTACAAAGTAAATGCAGAGACTTCAATATACAAAGTGACCTTCAGAGGCCAATGATGTTTCTGAAAACTGAGTAGAATAAAGGACTTGCACACTCAGGGGAGGCCGTACACCCACCTGGCTGGGGAAACTGCTGAATTTGATGATAACTGGCATCCAGGTCCCACAGAGAACTGTTGAGACCCAGTGAGAACAAAATGGTACCAGTGTGGCCCAGGGTCCCACTCTGAGGACAGAAGGTACCAGAAGACTCTAGACACTGGGCCTGAACCTGGGGGTGGGCACAGCCGCTGGAATACTCTTAATCTCCACCAGCAGAGGTGACATCCTCAGGGAACTTCAAGGCCTTTAATGAGTAGGAGCCGAGGAACTGCAAAATGGCAGATGCAGTGGGTAGCTACACAAGTGATTGTCAAAATCATCTGGGGAGAGGTGGGGGTGTTTTCTTGGTAAAGATGGCTGAAGAACTAATTTTATGGCTTTTCTTCTGATTCTGTGTCTCTCTGTAGACTGGCACAATCTGGAAAACATGAGCTGTAGTTATTATAAGGATGATTTACAAAGAGTACAGAAGTTTGGAGAAGATGAAGAAAAATACCTGTGATCCTGTGACCCTCACCTGATTATCTTCATATTAAAAGGAAAATAAACCTAATGAGGTCAGAGGACCTTCTCACTTTGCATGGATCATAGTCATTTTCCATGTTCCTACACCATCTCGATCCTCATTAAATAACTGCTTAGTAGTCCACTAGCTGGTTGTGCATTCATTTCTTTAACAACTCTCACTGTGGATCATTTAGATTGTTTCCACTTCTTTGATATTCTGAGTAAATGCAACAAAACCCATCAACATTCTTCTTTTTCCTTCTTTGAAATTGCTCTATTCTTTCTGGATTTTAACTTACAGCAAAAGAAATAGGGCTGGACCTGTGTGTGTGTATGTGTGTGTTTGGGGTGGGGTATATTTTATTTTATTTTTAGAGAGGGAGGGAGGGAGAGAGAATCTTAAGAAGGCTTGCAGGATTGGGACAGCGCCCTGAGCTGGTGCTCACGAGACTCCTTGTACAGAGTCCTACAGCCCAGAGGAGGCCAGAAAATGTCCTTTTCCTTTCCCTTTCCTGCATTAGGAGGAACTGTGAAAGACTTTGAAACGAGCAAAGGGGATTAGTGGGTGTCCTTTCAGTGGGACGCTGGGCATGGATCGCATGCTGTTGAGGTCTGTGTTTCTGACTGGGCTACTTTGTAAGCCACAGAAAACTGGCAGTCCTGCAAATAATTCTTGTCTATAGAAACATCAGTGAATATTGTCCCCAAGAAATACAACCATTTTCTGTCCTGGATAACAGGTTATTCCAAACATTACATTTTATTGGCCTAAAGATACAACCCAGTTTTGTGTCTATCAGCAAATTCATTTTGGCATTCTTGACTGCCTCAATGTGTCTGTCCTTCAGATTCTCCTTTGAAATGATATGACCTCTTACTGGTCTCTTTATTAATGAGTTAAATGACATCTTTGATGTGTGTTCATTTATATTTGTATGGCTCATGTCTTTTCTTTGAAAATGATATTTTACCATCCACTTCCCTGATGATTTACAAATTACTAATTCAGATCAGACCTTTGTCACCCATTCCCCACTGCTCATTTCATATTAAATTCCAAGTCTTTCACCATCCCCCACCCCAACACACACACACACACTTATTCCTATCTATACCCAAGATCCCCTGCACACCCAGAACAAAAACAGTGTTTTTTACAAGATGTGTGTGTTCTGCACTAAAAACATATGCATTTGGGTATTTGGCCAGGCTTGGACCCCTGAGATACGAAGCAGTCTTTGAGACCATATTGTAGGATCTGAATGAGGTAATGACCTCACGAGGGGACAATATAATGTGTTGTCTATTCAGAGTCTGTTTTACACTGAATGCTGACTTCAGTTCAGGTTAAAGAATTGCCAAGTCCTCTTCTTCTGAGGACTTTCCTGGCATCCTCTTTCTACTATCGAGGAAGCTGGCACTAAGGGTCTGCTGGGTAGCCCTGGGTCGAGGATGGCCCATCCGGGACTGGTTATAGATTTGCCAACATTCTTTCCAACGTCTGTTCCTTTGGGGCTGCATGTCCGGCTGCATCAGGCCACCTGGGGCCTTTGTTGGATAAAAACTTGAGATTCCTGGAAGCCTCGGCCAGGAGGCATGACAAGGCTACACTGTGGGTGGCTGGTGTCAGATTATCTCCAGGTGTCCCCTTGAAATAGTTTCTTTTACAGACCCCTACGGAGACCCAATAGAGGGATTGGCCCAAGGAAGGAGAGCTTCTGCTCTGAATAGCTACCAGAATCACCCAACATGCCCTGAAATATGTCTCTGAAATATGGTGAGACCCAGGGGATTGTAATCATAGGCTCCTCTCTAGACCACTGCCACCCCAAGTGTGGTCCGGGTTCCACTGTGCTGGTATCACCCGGGAGCTTGCTCAGGCCCATGGCCAGACTTGCTGAATCTGAATGTGTGGGTTACAAGATTCCTTGGTGATTCATATGCACTCCAGAGTCTGGAAGGGCTGGGGTGATAGAAGTCACACTACCTGGGAGCGATCAAGTCTGTGAATCTCGTTAGCTGGGGAACTGTGGGCCAGTCACTTCCACCTCTCAGGGCCTGTTTCCCCATCTGTAAGAGGACGATAACCTCTGTACCACAGGACCATGAAGAGATCCAAGGGACGTGAAAGCACTGACTGGCATTGCCCCATAATTTGTTTAAAGACCAAGAGAACCACAAGGAAATCCTGGTGTGGGATGGGGTTGGTATCCTGTGGGGATGGGCGGATGGAAGGCTCCATCCCAAGCTGCCTTTCTGGTTTTTACCCAGAAAAATGAGTGCTCCCTACAAGCGGGGCATGTTCTATTTTTGCAGGGGAGCCCCGCTGGGGCCCCAGGCCCAGGGTGGCCAGGGCTGGGCCATGGAGCTGACCCAGAAGGTCCTTTCACTGCCACTATGCCCAACTACAGAGAAGTTAGCCTGATGCCCGATCCTCGTCTCTTGAGCCTTCTCTGCAATCATCTATTGCAGGAATTTGTCCTTGGGTAAAATCCCTGTATCAGGCTTCCCTCCTTGAAGGTCCTGAGGATTAAATGGAGCCCTTTGTGCTCGATAGACACAGGGAACAAGGGGGCAGAATGAAATCATTTTAATAGCATAGCAACACTTTAGGACCAGGCGTCACAGACGAGGAAAATGTTTTGTCTTCCATTCATACAAGTCTGGTGAGGCGCGAGGTTGCCCTGGACAATCTTACAGACATATTTTTCACACTGAAAACTTAATAAATAGATACTTAAAATACCAAACTTCAGAGACAATGAGTTATGAATTGTGATTGTTTTCTTATTCTGCCTCATCTGAGCCAGGAGGTCGCTTCCTGGCATGTTGACAAAGGCGGGGTCCCTTAGGAAGGGTACTCATACTCCTCAGCACTGCGCCGGCCAAAATCCATCCAGCCCATGTAGTCCCGGTCGCTTATCCTGTGACTGGGGTCCAGGCTTTGCAGGTTCTTAATGACGGACATTCGGCCAGAAGGAGCTACAAGGGGCAGGGGAAAGAAAACAAGGCCATTATATTTAAGAGCATTGCTAATTCAATCTGTAAAGGAGAACAATGAGAAAAACCAGACAATACGTAACAGGCACCTTCTTAAAGGTATCAAAGAGCTATCAAGTACTGGGATTGCTGGACCAAAATCTAAGAGAAGGACCCAGGTCTGGGAAAACAGGGTAATATTTACTAGCGATGGGTATGGCTTTCAGATTGTAAGGATTTAAGTGGATTCACTGACTGTGGGACCTGCCTCAGTTTCCCTACTCCTAGGGGTGTTTTCTCTTATGTAGCTGGCCCTCAGCAGATGCCAAGCAAGAATTTCCTTGGTACTTACCCATTTCTGAAGTTTGCCCCTCAAGATCCCGAGCATACCTGAGTACTCTTGTTAAGGTAACACAATTACAATATTTTGATGTTAGAATGGTTTAAAAAAAATGGAGTCAAGTCCCATTGCTAGACAAATACTGTTTAGAAATTAACTTGAAAGCTACCTTCTTTTTAAAAAATGATACTGAGAAAAAGGCACACTGTTAGAGTAAAATCTTACATCAGTTAACACTCAAAGAAGAGTGGGCAGAGAGGTAATAAGGAGGTTATTTCATTTATTCCTTTTGGTTTTTTTTTTAAAGATTTTATTTGTTTATTTGACAGAGAGAGACACAGCGAGAGAAGGAACAAGCTGGGAGAGTGGGAGAGGGAGAAGCAGGCCTCCTGCTGAGCACGGAGCCCGATGTGGGGCTGGATCCCAGGACCCTGGGACCATGACCTGAGCTGAAGGCAGACGCTTAATGACTGAGACAACCAGGCACCCCATTTATCCCTTTTGACCAAAATGCAATAACTGAATGAGCAATGGGCCTTTGGGGATGGGAGTGATGTCCTCAAGAACAGGATGGTTCTCGTGTGTCATTCACATTGAGGGAGCAGCGACATGAAGAAACAGTTCCTTTAGAGAGACGTGACATACTCTTAGCCCACAGATCACAGACAGTGGCTTTCTGGCTATGAAATCAGTATAATGCCTTCTTCTGTGCAAGCTAAGAGACAAGAAAGGTCCCTCAGGGACCTCAAAGGGCAAAGCCCAGGGGACTCTAAGAGCAGCGTGGTGGAGATCGCTCCATGGGGCCACTGTGTCCCCATTGCTTGTGATGCTGGCATCCAGCCCTACTGTATGAGGCTGCCCTGGCCAACTCTTGCCCACAGGCTGCAGAGAGTCAGACCATGGCTTATTTGTTGATAAATGACCTTGCAGGAGCAGCTCCTCTGTCTTACTGGATGACCAAGTAAAACTAGCTACATTAAAACCCAGAACAATTATACAGAGCAATGTCCCCAACCGTTCTTCTCCCCCCACCCCCACCTCAATCCCTTCCCAGCCTTGGAATCAAGAGTCCATCCAGCACATTCCAGCCCTTTTGCAGGTATCTCCAGCCTACGCAAAAGGCAAACAGACCTGGCTGTTGAACTGTTCAACATTTTTCAGGTGAAATATTAGTCCTTGCATTCAAAAAAACCTTGCGGATCCAGTTAGTTGTACACAGTTACGGAAATATGGCCCATCCTTCTTCCTGCTGCTGCTGAATGCCCCCACCAAGGGCTGGGCACGGCCCCAAGTTCCAGTTAATGAAGGCAAAGTGGCAGCTTCGATGTGTGCAAGCAGCCGGGTTGTGTGTGTGTGTGTGGGGGGGGGGACCACGTTTTCAGCCCTGGTAGCTGTGCTGGTTACGCCTTCCACGTGCAGTGCGTGCATTTACCAGGGTCCTCACTCACTTCCCCAGTAGTAGGAAGTGGGGTAGGAACCACTACTGGTTTACAGAACTGGATCGAAGGGCCTGGCTCCTTTAGACTTTGAAACCCCAAATGGGCAGTACAGCTGGGAAGCTGAATGGCTCCCAGACCTTCTGGAGAAGGCAGGGTTTGAACAGACGGTGAGATGTGCAAAGTCACGTAGGTGATACATTCTCCCCGGCTGCCACACTGACAACGGGAGGCTAAGGGACATTCTCCCCGGCTGCCACACTGACAACGGGAGGCTAAGGGAACTTACTAAGTAGGGCTTCTGTGAGGGCTAGCAGACCTACAAATGTTACAGATGTAGAATTAGAGCTTCGCTGGGCGTGGGGCGGGTGTATGTTAGATGCCCCCTGCCCCCAACAGACCTGCTTCCCCTCAATCCCCCAAAGCCCTGCCGACCATTCCTGATGATAAACTCTTGAGCACTCCTCAAAGAGTACATGAGCGTGTTTAGAATCTTTAAGCCTAAGTACTAGCGTGGGGTAGATAACCAGTATGATCTCAGAATATGTAAAATAGTCAAAGAAACTGTACAGGTATAAATATTTATTCCTGGTTCAAATTTGTCAAAGAGAAGAGCGTGATTATTTTCCACCTAGTGCTCATCGTGGGTGTCGGCAGCTGAAGTACCTAAGGCTGCCATTCCCGTGTGGGCTTGTTTGGCACAACCTTCCGAAGGCAAAGGGAGAAGGTGGCTGAGAAGAGATGCTGGGAAGAAACTGCCAGCTAAGATTTGTAGTCTAACGCCACTGTCAAGTGTCTGTTCTAGGAAATTAGTTTGGTAACTGGCTTCCTTCCCAGACCTGTTTCTGGTGGCTCTTTCCTGAAGGTGGGGAGGTGGTTCCAGATTATGGCTCAATGAAAAACCTGTGATATTTCAGACTGGTCTGGCTGAAATTCAATCTACATCCAAGGACAGACATTAAATTACTTTGAGACAGACAATCAAGAGGAACTCAAAAAGTTTTCAGATTTTTCTGTCATCTGACTAATATTTCCACATCTCTCAATTTAATTAGCCAGAGAGCAAAACAGAAGATGGTAGCTGGGACAATTTCCCAAAGAGAGGACAAAATATAACAAATCATCTTCTGTTGTTGTTGTTGTTGTTTCCTTCTGAATTCCCCTGGTCGAAAAAGTTCCGATCTTACCTTCATATGAAACCATCAGAGGCTCTGGAAAGCCAAGCCCATCGTTTTCTCCTTGTCTAGTCAAGCCATGAGCTAAGGTTCAAATCCAGGCCCTGACAGATTGGAGGGTAAGAGAGCCTCCTGGGAAAGGAGCCCACCCCCCAACCCTTCCCAGCAGCATTTGCTGTCGTTTACTGTCCGGCTGTGTTGGTCCAGTTTAGCACACTGCCCCACAGCCCGTGTGTTCACCATCAGTGCCCCTGTGGATCAAGTTGGTAGACAAAAACTGCCCAAGTCCCAGTCATGGTTCCTAAGGACCCTACAGACGCATGAGCCTCCCTCTGAATCTCACAAAGAGCTAGAAGGGCCCTCGGGGAATTCTAGCCTCATCCCTGCTTTACAGGTGAGACAGGCCCAGGACAGGGACAGGCTGTCAGTATGTCACCCAGCTAGTGAGCCACTGAGTCACCTTATTCCCGGAGACAGACTTTTGATGCTGAGAAACCTGGCTTGCGCGCTTCTGCAGCAATTGGGATCATGTCTCCAAGAGCAAAATAAAAACAAACAGGTCTCTTGAGTAATCATTTTAAATCACTGCCAAGGACAACTCAAAATTGCTACTGATTCTTTCCTCCTGTTATGTCCTTTGGTGAAAACTGACACATTGTCACTGCTTTTTCAACTGTTGTAGTCTGAACTCAAGAGCTTTCTCAGCATCGATCCCTTCCTGGTAGGGGTTTCCAAGTGTCACTATCTGGGTGGCTCCTGGTTCCTCCGCATTTACAGTATTGGGTATTTAGTAGATCTGCAAACCCTTTTAGAGTCCGTAATTTGCTCGGTAATTATCTTTTAATGTCTTCATAATATGGCGTTGAATTTAAACAGCAACACGTGCCAAAAACTAGTGTCGAGAAAGCTTTTTTTAAAAAGGTTTTCCTAAATTAATTAAATCCTCCACCCTCGCTCTCAGTTTGCTACAAAGGACGTCCAGAAAATCGTACTGTCCAGCGCAGTGCAGTTCGGGGGGAGAGGGGAAGAAAGTGAAAAACCTTTCAGCTTAACGCATCGCCTTGTGTTTCCTTCCCCAGGGTTACCCGCCTCCATGAGCCAGACGCTAGGGAGGAGGGACAGGATTGGGAGGCCCGCGCGGGGTCAGAAGTGACGGATAGGGACCCTACAGATGAATGAGCATCCGTACCTTTCCGGGCCTGCTGGATGTACCTGGCCAGCAGCGCGCCCAGGTGCGCTCGGGACTCGCCGTCCACCTTCTGCACTGCCCTCAGCTGCCTCCGGGGCGCCTCCTCCTCCTCCTGCTGCGCCCCTGGGCCCACCGGGTCCGCCGAAGGGACGGGCTGCGCCAGGGCGCCGGCCGCCAGGACCGCCAGCAGCACGCACAGGCACACGCCGCCGTTCATGGCTGCGGAGAGCAAAGGGGAGGGGACGTGAGCGAAAAGGTGGGGGGATCGCGGGCTCTCGCGGAGGCTCAGGGCACCCGGGGTACGGAAAAGGGGGCTCAGTCCAAACGCGCGGGGCCCCAGGTCCGCCACACTGGTGCACACGAGGGCTCGCCAGGCGCCGACGTGAGCCAGGTGGCCACAGCGCGCGTGTCCGGGCACAACCCGTTTGTCTTTTGGGTGAACCACACCCCGTGCCCGGGAAAGCGGACAGAGACCCTGTCTTCTGCCCTGGCTAGCAGAAGAAATGTCTTCTGTTTTTCTTTCGTATCAGAAAGTGTGGTTAGAACGTCTGTCTTCTAACTGGAAAAGCAAGAGATTAAAGCTGGAAAAATAATCTCAAGAGAAGACTCCGTGGGAGAAGCGAGACCCTTGATAGCTAAGAAGCTTTCAATGGGGGAAATAAAGGGTGAAAAAAAAAAAAAAAGAAGCACAGCTTAAAATGAGGGAACAAAAAAGAAAAGCCATATTTAGAAAGTTTCTTTAAGGTGCATATGGGAATTGGCAATAAACTACTATGCAGAACACAGGAAAGGCTTTTTAAAAATCAGAAGTATGCTAAAATAAATAAATCTTCCAAAAAAAAAAATGTTGTCAGAAGTATGCGCTCAGTTTTCTGTCCTTGGCAAAGCGCTGCAGGCTTTTAGATGCACCAGCAGATAAGACACCCGCACGTTTCTATCCCCAAAGCCTTGAATTTTTCTGCAATATTTAGAAAATGAATTTAAATCTTAAAACCTCTTGATAGTTTATTTGAAGAGACTGCAAAGTACGCTGCACCTCTGTGTAACATCAAGCTAATCCCAAATTGCATGCTAATCCTAGCAAATAGATAGTCCAGCCTTGCATGCGGACGAGAACAAAGCAGGCGCTTTGAAGTCTCCTAAGCAGCTCTACCCACCCAGACCTCCCTGTTGTTTCTGACTTCAAGAAATGTCTTTCGAGCTGGGAAGAAGACACAGAAAACAAAAATAAAATGGAAGGGGCACAAAACTGAAGACAGCATTCTCAAGCCAACTTGACACTTGGATCCCCCGCGGGAATGCGGGGAACCTACCTTCGGAGTAGGACTCAGCGGGCTTCGCGTGCGTTTCGACAGGAGTGGCGGGGGAGCTGAGCCAAGTTCAGGTGGGCCGGCAGGACGCTGCCTCTTAAATAGCCCCTCCCGGCGCTGTCAGCCAGTAATCTGTTTACCCAGCGTTGACGCAGACCGGCAGCAACACGTGCTCAGAGGGCGGCCACTGGGACGACAACCGATTGAAGTGGCTCCTGGGGGAGAGGGGGCAATGGCCCAGTGGAGCTGGGTTAACCCCTTGCAGGCGGGGTGTCCCGTGCCCAGCCCCCCCTCTCTGTCGGAGGAGCATCCTCTCCCAGCTCTGTCCCTCTCCCTCTCCCATTCCAGGGTGGGAAACCTGGGTGTCGGGAATATCCTTCAGGTTGGAGAAGCTGCCCAAGTTTAGTCCTCTTTGGGGACCGGAGGGGCCGGAAAGGAAACCCGAAGCAGGGCGGGGGGCGGGGGTGTCAGCAAAGTGTAATTCGGAGCTGGAGGGGGTGTTAGCCCCCCTCAGAGCATCCCAGGTAGCTCTGGCTTTTTTGGACCAGTGAGTGGGCTTCCTGGGGGAGGGAGGGGTCTTCACTTTCTGCTCGGCCCCATGAAAAGCCCTGGAGGTTCTCCAGGACTCCGAGGGCAGGTGTTCCCGGGTCAGTGAAAGGGCTCCGGCCGCAGCTGGTTCTTGGAGCCCCGGGCCTCTGTTCACGCAGCTGTAAAGTGAGGATGACACCCCAGGACTTTGCTCAGAGTTTGGGAAAGGGCTGTGTTTTCCTCGGGGCCAAATTACTCCTGCTCGCGGCGCGCGCGGCTCCTGGTCGCCAAGTGGCGCCAGCGAGTGTCCCAAAGAGCTCTCTCTCTGGTGTTCCCCTCCGGCAGCGGCATCAGCCCCTCCCACCTGCCTCCAGTCGGGGAGCACTCACACCCAGGCCGGATCCCCGCTCCAGCGCCGGCTGCTCGGCTTCGGCTTGAGGACCTCGCCCTGGTCCCTCACCGCCCGCAGGGGTCAGGGGAGGCGCCGAGGCCGTCCTGCGTCCTTCCCAATGCCATCGCGCCCCTGACTCCCGAGCCAGGCGACCCGTGCCGGTGCGCCGTGGTGGCCAAAGCCGTCTCGGCCCTGAGGCCGTTTGGGTGGGTGCTCGAGTTCGCCGCGTCTCCGCGAAAGGCACTGGCAATCCCATTTCACAGACGGCAAACCGAGGCGCGAAGAGCTGCGCCTAGCGGAGGCTCCACCGCCTGGCCCTGGCCGCCTCGCGCACTGAGCCTCCCAGCCCGAGACCTCCGGGTCGCATCCATCCCTCCTCCCGTCCCGGAACCCTCCATTCCTCCCCTCCTTTCCCTCAAGAAGCATTTGGAAGTGCTTCTTTCAAAACTGGCACCTGAACTCAGCAGTGGGGGTCCCGAGATGGCCGGACCGCGGACTCTCTTGCAGAGGTGGGGGTCGGTGTGGCGTGGTGGCTGGGGAAGCTTGGCGGGGAGACACTTCTGGTTGCATCCCCTTTTCTAAACTCTAGAGGCTGCTGTATTTCTGCAACCGACAGGCAACATTTCTGAAACAGCTACAGATAAAATGTTTTCCAGTGGTTTTCCCACGAGGCTGCTAAGAGTTGTGCAATTCAGTTGGAAAAACCAGTTTGATTTGTGACTGTGGCCAAGACATTTCTGGGAACATAAACTTGTTATAAGACAGAATCACCTAAACGGCTTGTTCAAACACCTCCAGAGTTTTTAATTCTGAAGTGGGGCCCAAGAATCTGCATTTCTAACAAGTTCGCCAATGAGGCGCCTGCTGGTGGGCCCCTGACCACCCTTCGAGAACCACTGCTATAGAATTTCCCTATGGTAAGCCAGTGACTTAATGCCCTTCCTTCCATCCATTTAATTAATATGTATTTATTGAACACTTGCTTTGTGCCAGGCATTGGGGATGCAGTATGAACAATGGTGACAACATAATGGGGGAGCAGAAAAAACAAGTTAACAGACACCCCCCCTGGTAATTCTGATGTACTGGGGGGCTATCAGGGTGGAGGAGGTGGGGGATGATCCCAGAGAAATGTGTTTTTTTTAAAAAGATTTATTTATTTGAGAGAGAGAAACAGTGCACAAGCGGGTACGGTGCGGGGGGGGGGGGAGGGGTTTGTAGGGACCAAGGGAGAGGGAGAGAGAGAGAGTCCTCAAGTGGACTCCACGCTTAGTGCAGAGCCTGGGCAGGGGGCTCCTCCCAGGACCCTGACATCATGACCTGAGCTGAGATCAAGAGTCAGTCGCTCAACCTACTGAGCCACCCAGGTGCCCCCAGAGAAATGTTTTGATGAGGCAGAACAAAGGAATGAGGCTCTGATTTTAGAAAGATGAGTCTGGTTGTGATGTGCAAGGTGTTCCAAGTGGGGAGAGGCTATAAGGCAGGATCTGTTAGGAGGGCCAGGAGGGATCAAGATAGATTTACATTGAGGATTATAATGCATTATGAAGCCTATTAGTTATTACAAAACATACTGAACATTATGAAAGTAATGTGTTCATCAGGGATAATTCAGAAAATCAGTAAAAGAAGAGAAAAGAAGAAAAATTCCATCATCCCGGGACAGCCACTATTAACCTCTTGGTGTCTGAGAAGCCTGGAGAGGCAATGAAACTAGGTGACTGAGGCTGACCTTGAGGCTCCCTGTTGTGAGATGGGGGGTGGGTGGAGTGTTATTCAATACCTAGAATTCGGGTGTGAGGGCAGGTTTGGGGCATGGGGGTGAGGTAGGTAATGAGTCTAATGTAAGACTGAGCTCATTGCTGGTGCATGGATGGTCCAGGAGCAGGTTGAGAATGAGCCCTGAGCTCAGGACAGAGAGGCACCGGAGGTGTGGACCAGAGTCTTTGGGGGGGGGGGTGTCTGCCAGCCTGGGAGTCCTAGGGAGTGCCTAGGAGGGCAGGCAGAATAGGCACATCCTGAGGAGCGAGAGCAAGAAGGTGAGTGGAGAAGAGGAGGATGGTAAAGAACCAGAGAAAGAGTGGCCAAGACACCAGAGTAAAAATGCCATATGGAGAAGCCAACAGTGACAAGGATTATCAGAAGCTGGAAGAAGAGCTCGTGCAGTGGACCTTTATATCTTGCAATAGAGTTGTAGCCACTTCACCCTTAGGAATGGGATTCTGAGCAGGGATATGTTATGGAAGATACTCTGGGAAAATAAAAAGTTAAAAGGGGTCTGAACTCCACGACCATAGTAATGAGTCTTCCTTCTTAATGGGTCAGAGGGTACTAATAACTCTAGACCACTTCTAAAGCAAGATGGGCCGGGACCCCACTTTTCTTGTTAATGCAAATGCATATCTGCATTAAGGAGAATCCATTTATTCACAAAAAGATACTTGCTTAATGCCTCTTAAGGCAGATGCTTTTAGTGCCCTTCACCACAGCTACATGTCCCAACTCTGGTTCTAGCTGGGTTTGGACTGGGCATTTGTGAGCAAACAGTGTTCTCAAGTTTCTAAAGCACCCCTCTGCAGCTCTCTGCCTCAAAGCTCAGCCCTAGCAGAGGTTTAGTCTGGAAGTACAAGGGTCTTAATATCCCAGAAGATAGGACAACCCTCATCCAGTGGGGGATAGGAACCCATTTCCTGTCCTCTGTATGGACCATTTCCAGAAGCTTCTAGAATCTTCTCAAAGTTTCTTTGCCTCCAGCAAAGGCCTTGATAACCTCTCTTTAGCTGATTTTTCTTTTATTTTTTAAAGATTTTTATTTATTTGAGAGAGAGAGAGAGCACAAGCAGGGGGAATGGGAGAGGGAGAAGCAGACTCCACGCTGAGCACGAAACCCGATGCGGGGCTCGATTCCAGGACCAGGGATCATGACATGAGCCAAAGGCAGATGCTTAAATGACTGAGCCATCCAGGTGCCCCTTGTTGACTTTTCCTTCTCCCTTGCCTTACTCCTCTCATTTCCTCACTTCTTGTATCTGGTATCATCTCTCAAATAAACCACTTGCCCCCATGGCTGTCTCTAATTTCAGGATAATGCTACTGAAAGCATCAGCTGTCCAGTAGGCACTGTTGGGGTACAACAGGGAGCAAGACAGACAAAATCCCTCTGCTCATTGTGCTTCCATTCTAGTGGGAGAGATAGGTAATAAACAAGAAAAATATTTGTGTATGTGGTAGGTCATCGATGGGCACAAATGATTCTGAGAGAAGTAGATCAGGTAGAGGGTTTGGGCTGAAGATTTGCAGGAACATATGCAAACCCTGGCTTGAGGTCCCTCTTTTAGGCTCTTTGATATGTAGACCTCTATGTATATTAAGGAGAAATGGTTTTGCTTTTCAGTGCCAATAAACACAATGGAAGTTGTAATGAGATTTTACCTTGTTTGGAGGTTGTTTTTGTATTTCACCAAGTGTGAGATGGTAATTAAGTTTTACCCTAAGCCCATCCTCTTGTCTCAGGAAAGGAAAAAGCAAAGGCAGTGCCCTCTCTGTTCCCCACCTGCCCACCCCTCACCCCCTTACCACTGAGCGAGGCTCACCAGCTGGGGCCCAGAACTGCCCATGATGTGGAAGTTCCTTCACATGCAGGGGGCTTAAAGCATGACAACATATCCAGATGTGGCATTAAGAGTGAGTAGTGGTGAGAGGAAATTTGTGACTTTAACTGGTTTTAGAAGCTAGATATTTCCATCTGATTGTGGTGAAAAGAATTAAATGAAGTTCTATTTAGAGTTGGAGAGGCATCCCCAAAGAGGGGTCCTTGCAACAGATGCAATCATTGCAATGTAGGATTTTTAGCCATGGGAGGTATCTCAAAGACATATGTCCATTCTGCACTTGTAGAAAACTTAGTGGAATTTCCAGGGATGTACTAGAGCCTCCTAATTTATTATTCACAGAATTTAAACTTGTTACAAGCGATTCCCCTTTAAAGGAGGTCAGGAGACTATTTGCTCTGATTCAAAAGGTGTTGGTTTGAAGTCTTCTTTTTTGGGTCTTGAGTTTTTTCCCTGGAACATGTATTAGAAATGCCGTTGTTTGGCCTGGAACTTTTCAAAGGCCCACAGAGCCAATGTTTCTGCTATCACCTGGGATGATTTGATTGAAAAGAAGGAAGTAGCTGTGATCATTGTGAACAGTGTTTCCTTTCCTTAATGATGAGTTCCCTTAGAATGTCTTGTCTTAGTTTCAGTGCTTGCAAAGGCAGGGCTGAGACAACACCTGGGAGCAGGGAGTTTATTTGGGAGTGATCTCAAGGAAGCAGGGGTGAGGGGGCAGGGGAAAGAGAGAGGACAATCAAATGCATGTTGATGAGCGGGTTCCTGCTGTGGGGACAGTTCCACTGGGGTCTTTGTGAGATACCTCGTGGAACATGCCTCATATCCAGCCTACCTGAGGCTGGGAGAAGAGCCTGGGGCATTTACCCACCAGCTCCCGTGCCCCATTGGTTGAGGGCTGCTCCAGGGGTGTCAGCTCCCCCTTCACTTCTGAATAGACCTCCCTCTCCTGTAGGGTCAGAGAAAGTTCTCAGGTAGAGAAGAGAGAAGCTGATGGTAGAGGTGGGAATAGCTTCCAGGGAGCCAAGGGGACTAGCTGGGCTGCTATAACAAAATACCATACATAGACTGGGTGGCTTAAACAATACACATTTATTTCTCACAGCCTGGAGGCTGAGAAGACCCAAGTCAGGCTGAGAAGGCCTCATGGTCGGGGTCCTGTGAGAGCTCTTTTCCTCTCACATGATAGAGAGAGCAACTCTATGATTTTGTTCTTGTTAGGGCACCAATTACATCATGAGGACCTCACCCTCATGACCTCTTCTAGACCTAATTACCTTCAAAGGTCCAACCTCCTAATACCATCACATTAGAGGTTAGGGCATCCACCTATGAATTTTTGGAGGACACAAACATTTAGCCCATAGCAGACTGCAACATACCTGCATGGAAAAGAGGAAAAATCCTCTTTCGCTGGCATTTCTGTAAGGTTAGTGGAATCCCTTAATCTGGGGAGGAGTATTCTGAATCTCATTCAAGGGTCACAAACCCAAACACCAACAGGTGAGTGAAACAGGCTGAGGGTAAGAAGAGCAACAGCAACATCAAAATGATAAATGTCAAATGACGGTTGTGGGTGGTAGTTAATCCCACTGGGAACCCTCAGGGCAAGTGTAGAACCCGTACTTCAGAGTTATCTTATCCAAGTAGGTGAGGGAGCTGGGGTATTTATACACCAACTCCAGTCAGTCACTGGTTGAGGGTGGTTCCTGGAAGAGGGGTATTAATCCCCTAGCACTCCTGGCCCAATGGGTGTGGGGGCCAGAGGGGTTTCCAGCCCCCATGGGAAGTCCTTAGGGGAACAGCTGCAGCTGCTAGTTTTGGAAACTGGACCCACAGGCACTATTAAGGTCAGGCCCCAAGGGGTGATAGGTGGGGCAGGGAAACTGCAGATTTACTCCTTTAACACTCAATATTAGAGCTTACCATATTTTACCTGAATTTCCTTCAACGGTGCTTGGTACATAGCAGTTGCTCA